ATTAAAAAACAAATCAAACTCCACGTGTGTCAAAAGGGAGATCAAATGGTAATGCTTTCACCGTTCAAGTCAGAGTTTTCATTTTAATCCACTATCGTCGTCTCTCCGATACTCTGTCTGATCACCAGGTGGTTCCCATCCCTCCATTATGGTCAGAAGGAAATCACCGGAGGCTTATTCCAGGTGTAGATCCTGCTGATGCACTTCAGGCTTCCACTGTCACCCAGAGTTTCACTGCATATGACTGCACTATGGAATGCTATCATGTCTGGATTGCGTCCTAAGAAAATGTTTTGGGGTTTTTTTTTTTAAGTGGCAGGTAATAGCATAATACATTGAAGCTCTGATATCCTTCCCTCCTTTTGTTGTTGTTATTTTACTTTTTTTTTCCTAAATTGGGTGAAGGTTCACAGAGGAGATCATCTGTATTATAGGTGTTGGTTTTCGTGTCACTTTTTATTTTGATGTGAATGAAAGTTGACAGCGAAGTTGTTTTCCTAGTCAACATTGCATGCACATTTTACTTCATGACATTGATTACAATCCCCACGATGGAACAACGCTCTCCTCACTTCCTCTCTGTGTTTACCATGCATTCGGCCTTCTGGCCTGTGCTTCCCTGTCTTATGAGCAAGTGCTTCCCTTCGTGTCTCATACGGTTGATTATTCTAAGGAGTGCACACCTCCCCTGCGTTACTGTCCATCTTACAGGCCTGTTTATTGTTTGGTCACAAGTTGAGCCACCGGAGCGAGTAGCTCAGTTCCAGGCTTGAAGATTATCTGTTTTCCGTTAAACAATTCATACACATTTCTTTTCATCTCACTGATGGTAATCCCCTGAGCGAAACATCCCTTATCCTACTTCCTTTTGGTGCTCCTGTTTCCATTCCTTCTTCGTTCTCTTTTTGTAAACAGTTTCATTGGGATATAATTCACATATCATCCATATAATCACATATAATCACATCATGGAGAGTTTGTTGTACAATCATCACCACAATCAGTTTTAGAACATTTTCTTCATTCTTGTACACATCATTATTAGCCCTCATTAGCACTCATTCCCCCACCAACCTCCCCTGATAACAGGGCTATTCACATCCCTCAACTATAATCAGAGGGGATTCACCCGAGGCTTAATCCATGTGTGAGACCAGCAAATGGATTTGGGGCTCCCACTCTCATCCGTAGCCTTTTGCAAACCAGGTGTTCACAATTTAAGCTCTGATGCAATTCCCTCCTTTAGATTAGAATTATATTATGTACAATCCTTGGATCACACAGGCTGGTGCACTTCTTCCATGTGGACTTAGTTGTCACCTCACTGAGATGGCTGCTTGTATGGAGACAAGCTTTAAGACCCTGGATCTATTATTTCTGATAGCTGGGTACCATCTAGTTTCTTCACCATACTTTGCTGTAGCACCCATATTTTCAGTTGTCTCTTCATGAGGGTTAATATCAAGGAGGGCCATAGCATAATAACTAATTATTCTTGCATTGAGGCTAGTTCAAGCCCCAAATCCATTCATGCATCTATTACATATATATATGACTCTAGTTCACCTTAGAGACATCATTGTCATTTTATGTAAGAGAATATTATCAATCTTCCTCAAGTTAATGCTGACTTATAGTGACCATATAGGGAAGAGTAAAACTGTCCCCGTGAGTCTCCAAGCCTGCAAATCTTCACAGGAATTTGTACTCCACCTTTATTTTTAACCCTTCTGAACTTTGTCCTTGATTAAATGTTGCTCTTCTAATCTCAGATGATTGATTATTCTCAAGTGTTCATTACCTTCCCTATGTTATTATTACCCTTATAGAACTGTCTATTATTTGACTGAGAACTAATTACCTTTGTTCATTCGTAACCAAACTGTGATGTAAACTGGTAATATCACTCCCATTTCACAGTTAAGGAAACTATAGTTTAGAAAAAAGATGTGGAAGGTTCAAGGACAAATACTTAATTAAATGTCTCCCACCTCTCTGCAATTACACGTCTCCAGGTCTTTCCTTTGTCGTTCTAGACTTTTGTTCCTTCCCTGCTCGATACACTCTGCCTCCCTCTGCCCTGCTCAAAACTTCTCTCCTTGGGACCCAATCGATGGATCCTGATCAAAAGAAAGAAATATGTGGATCAGAACTTCAAATTCTTATGGAAATCAGGCTGAAGGGATCCATTTAGACTGGGGAAGTCCCTGAATCTATTCCCTACAGAAATAATTTTGAACACTGAACTAAAATTATTCCATGAAGTCATCTTTAAAAAATAATCTCCCTGAACTTGGAAAGAATGCTAGCTTTGAGCACTGAAGGCTTTGGAAGAATTTTCTATCTGAGCTAAAATTGACAGCAGTAACTCTAAAGCACAGATCACAGGCCGAGAGTCTCAGTCACAGGTTCCTGAAAATTCCTTAGCACCCCTGACAATGAAACATTTTTGTACTATAGCCTATATTCTAGGATGAAGTATAGGTATATTCTTTGGCAGCCCCTCCCAAAAAAATAAACCCTGAATCATTCCATCGGCCCCCCGGGGACTGTATCGCCCGCTTAGGGAAACACTGGTCTAAGTCCATGGTGGTGAAACAGTATGGCTAGAGATACAGAGAATGTCAACTCAAAGTACAATGTGTTGCCAACGTCGTTGAAATGTACATGTTGAAATTGTTGCATGGGTGTATGTTTTTCTAAACTACTTTGTGATGTCTTGGAGTCTCCCAACTTTTCAGAATAAAAACTTGGTAAAACAAATGCACCATGAAAATGAAAGCCGAATGAAAACTTCTCAATAGTTAAAGTCTTCCCCTTGACCTTCCAGCTCCCTCTCCCCTTTTTCAAAAAGCCTTCAGCCGCACACCTTCCAACAAGGGTCCAAACCCACTGAGTGACTAAAATCCACAACAACGTTTCCTCAGGAACACCACATTTGAATACTGGATCTCTTAAGCAGTTGCATGGTGATTATCGGGTCTGCCGAACACCAGTACTCTTAACTGAAATTCAAACAAGATCAGGCCAGTTGTCTAGTTGCTTGGGAAACCAAGCAGAAATTGGTTTCTTGCTGAGTTTTCAACTTGTTCACCCAAGTCATTTAGTGACTGGATGATCTATCTCCTCTGGACAACGGCAAGTTCCATCAGAGTCCAGCCCCATGGAGGGCTGTGCTACAGAGTCCTTCTGCAGCCCCTCAAACAAGATCCCTCGAAGACAGCGGGTAGGTTTGGAGGGTGAGCAGAGAGAGTGCTAGCATGCAGTAGAGGAAGCCGAGCACCAGCACCAGGCCACACTACAAATGGATTCTAAACATGGAATCCAAATGTAGTATCACCCCTGTCAAAGCTGGGGAGCTGACTGCTGGGACTCCCTGGAGATTGTTCGGTGTGGGGTTTCACACCTTGGGGAGAACCCGCGTTCCCCTGTGTTGGATGTGAGGTCATGTAACTCCAAGCTCAACTGGGCGAGCATGATGCCAGCACAGGAAAGCTCTGTGTAGATGAGCGAGGACACACTGGATTCACTTCCCCCAGCCCCCGAATTTCTAATCACATCAATAAATCATCAGTCTAGCTTTCAGCCTGTCAGGGGGTCAAAAAGGGAGAGCCATGCCCCACTCTGTAGGAGGCATTCACCGAAAACCAAAACCCTGGCATCAAGTGGACAGGGTAGAACTAGGGTTTCCGAGACCATACCTCCTTATGGGAGTAGAAAACGTCGTCTTTCTCCCAAGGAGTGGCTGGTGGTTTCAAACTGCAGACCTTGCTCTTAGCAGCACAATGTATCTAGCCATTACACCACCAGGGCTCCTTGGACTCACATAAAATAAACTCTCATTATCGGTGAAAGTTAGTGCCAGTGTTTAACATGCTCGGCTGCTGTCCAAGAGTTTAGCATCTCCAGTCCACCCAGAGGTGCTTGGAAGAAAGACCGGGTGATGGATTTTGACACAATCATCATGCACTGGAAACCCAACTGCCCTGAGCCAAGTGGGGCTGCCAGGTGTGTTCGGCTGGGTTGTCTAGAGAGACAAAACCAGTGACACTCGTCTAGGTATAAGAAAGAACTGGATATCAAGCAGGAGTCTTTTTTTTTTAACAAGTAGTCTTATATCAAGAAGGCATCTCAGTCCAGTCCAACTTAAATTCCTTGGTCAGATGTTATCCAGAGCCCACTTTAGACTCACAGAGCTGCAGGCTGGTAATCTAGAGAGGTGAAGTGGGATGCAGGGAGATCAGAGGCTGGGGGGGG